GACAGGCTAATCCATCGTTTTTCAATCTCAGCAACTTTAAGAAGCGTGGACATATTGGCTGAGGAATTCTGGGAATTGAAGTCCATATTTCTTAAAGATGGTAAGGTTGAAATATTGGGATAATCTATCGCTATTTTTTTCTTAAACGGGGAAAATTGCAAAATAACCCCACATGCGTGAGATTTTTTTTTGCGCACCGAAGAAGCATTTTACTTACTTACTGGACTATTTCTCCCAGTTCCACCAGAAATCACATCTTGGGGGCAGGCTGAGGTTGATGAGAGGTGTTCGATTTCTCTGAATGTTAATGGGGGATGGCTACCGGCCCGCATTCTTGGAAATTTTTACATTCCGGCAGATCCGGCAGTTGGCACGATACATTTTGAAGTATCTGAACTATAATAGATTTCACCGGGGTCCCACAAACCCGAAGCGTAAACGAATCACAAGCTCAGAGGTGAGTTCCTAATACCGGAATATCCAGCACTGATCGACAAGCTTAGAGTTCGGTATGTCCTATGGACAACTCGTGCTTGGCAAATTGATTTAGTAGATCCCCAGATTATTATTTTTTTCTCGCCTCCTGCTGGTCTTCTCTATCTGCTTCCCGAGGGGCGCTTCCCTTGGCCAATGCGGGAAAGCAGGCTCTTTCAGGATAACAGATAGGACCGGTTCGGAATGAGGCGTTTTCTTTCAACAGAGAGGTTCTTTTTTCTTTCTTTCCTGGTTTGGATTTGCTCACGGCGCGTTGTTAGGATCAGAGTCATCCCCTATTTTTCGACCTAGGATTTCCTTGTGGTCTCCCTTCGAAATACCATTCATCAGACCTCGCTTAATTATTCGAGTTCAGTCAGAATGTCAGACGCAGACCAAACTGCGCCTTCCTGTAACAATTCTCTCCCACGTCTCCTCCCACCCCCACCCCCCCACCCCCAGTAAAACATTCGGCTGGTCCACCGCCATGGATGCTCAAAATCGGCCGGATGCAGGAGAGCTAGGGCTTTGGGTTTTTTGTGTTGTTTTGTGTTTTGGTGTTAGGCTGTCGCCGCCGTCCTCCTCCTCCGAGCGCTGTCGAAGATAAAAAACACGCCCGGCGATCGGTTAGAGTTCGCGCCAACCGGTGATCTTGGGAAAAGGAATCTGTCCCCGCGAGCTCTCGCGCTTCGATAGTGCTGCGCCGAATTTGATCAGCCTGATCAGGGGCTTGCTGGCTAACCGAGCAGCAATCGATTCCTTCCCGCTTCTCACAGGAATCCTCGGATCAGGGAACTCTTTTTTCCTGATGCGCTGCTGATCGCCGCCTTTGGCATTCGGAGCAGCTGCCTTTTGGTGTGGCTGTCAGCAGGCGGGAGCAGGTAGCTACGTTAGCTGCAACACTCTGCTACTTTTTGAAGCTTGCTTGTTCTGGTATCCAGCAACTTCAGGGCTCGATTTTCCCTAGCCGGTATCTCTTTTTTAATTCAGAGGAGGGGGAAAGCCGCTTTCCAAGAAACAGCGCCACCGAGAAGGTGCTTTCCATCACAGGAGCCATAGTCTCTTCACACGAGGCGGGATGGGGTGGGTGTAGCGCTGGGGTATGGGGACATAGGTTTCAGCTGGTCGTCTGTGGGAGGGGGCAGTGGTAAGAAAATAATGATGAGGTTTCGTGGTGGCTGCTATGCTCGACTTTTTTTTCTGCCCTTCCCAGGCTGGGGTTATTCTCTCTTGGGGGGGGGGGGCAAAACACAAGGGTTTTATTTAAAGAGCCTCCATTCCTGTTAAAAAAAGTTAAGCTTGGTATCTGTAACTTTCTTTTTGGCTCTCAATGGACTTGTTTATATTTTAGGATTCACCTCTCCCTTTTCAAAACTGATATGGATGCTATTTGGATCCTTCTTTCTCATCCACAAGTGGGACTGCACAATGGCCAAGTCGATGTATTTCCAGGGCAATATATCAAAAACAGCACCTATAATACAATTATGTTAAAGATTTTCCCTGTGTTTAAGAATGGGAAGATTGAACTGCCCTCTAAAAGATTTAGTAGCAGCAGCAGGAGGTGTGAATTCAGCTATTAATTAGTTGACTCTTAAAATGTTCTTATATTTTGTTGAATGGCATAAGGAATGAAAGTCATATGAGCTATATTAATTTCTAATAGATGGTTCTTTTTAAATTCTCAGAATGTACATAGCTTGACTTGTTGTAATGTAGTTTACTGGATCATCCTGGATTATTGCAAATAGATGTGCATGAGGCTGCCTTCAAAGATCATTTGAAGCTGTAGCTGGTCCAAAATGTAGCAGTCCAGACAGTATTGGCCATATCTTAGGATGCTCATGTGACACCACTGCTCTGCAAACTGCATGGCTACTGATAAACTTCCCGGTGCAGTCTGGGCAACTGCCGAATCCAATTAGTAAATAAGTAAATATCTATATTCTCCCCAAAGACACCAAATAATAAACTAAACACACGGACTTTGCATAATGGACTAAACCATAATACTAAGAGATTTGTATTGCTGAGTAATAATTCTTGAATAGGTAAAAATCTATCTTTTGAGAATGCCTTTTAATAATGAAAGGATGCAAGATATGGATTTATAGGGGAAAACTTTAATACCCCTGTACTCAAGGATGCTTTAAGGTTGTCTCACTAATGGTCTAGTAACACTATGGAGCATAGCAGAATAAAGGAAGTGTCATGCAACAGCTTATATTGTGGCTAGGGAAAAGCTCTTAAACTAAGGAAGATTGTTGTGTGAATACAAGCATAAGCCTTTGGGTGGAATGAAGACAGAAGTTTCTAAAAACATATTGACTAGGAAGCAGATTTTTTTTGGTAATTTTAATCATGCTCATCTCTAAGGAAACGTGTTCAGCTTTCTCTTGCAGTTTTAATACAACTCTCTGGGAATAAGTCCAAGAGAATTCAATGAGATTTTCTTTTCAGCAGAACTGCCTCGATTTTCACTGTTAGAATTACAACCCAATCTAACTACATAGACACAAAAGGAAAACCTTTCAAATCCAGTGAGGCTTAATCCCAAGAAAATCTGATACTCTTGTACACTGGCTTGGAGGAATAGCCCCACCGAAATCAGCAAGACTTTTTTCTGAGTAAATATATATCAGATTGCACGCTTTGTACTTGAAGAGAAAGGCCAGGATTAAGTGTTCACTTGGTATTGCTAGAAATATAATTATTTTCGATACTGTGTTTCTTTGGGAAAGTTGTTATTTAATCTCCACAAACTACTGAAGTCTCTAGAGAGTTTAAACAAAGTAAAAACTAAGAATATTAAAAATGAATTTAAATGATCAGCAATAAGGCATGCTTTTAAGGCTCTCTGATGTTATTTTCCCTTTACTCATCTTGTCAGTAATGTTGCTTCCGACCAGATATTACCAAAAGCCTTCTATCACTCAGAAGTTATTTGTGGTGTTCCCAGACCAATGGACAGAGCAAATCCTGTGCCTCATCACTTCCTAATCATAGCTTGCCCATCTGCTGTTACTTTGCTTGTTAGGATGGAGAAAGAAAGGACACCTCCTACTTGGTGGATTATTGTCTTACAGATTTTAGGCCATATTTTGAAAGTAACAATACATTTAAGAAGAGAAAAATCAGGGTGGAATATTATTAAATAAATGAAATTTAATTAAAGGCCAAATACCTTTTTAAAGGAGACCTATTACTCATAGGTCCTATGACTCATAACAAGTCCCCATTTATTTGGGGCCTTCTCTATCAACTTGCACTTCGAAGTCAGCCCACAACCAACCTGAAGCTTATTTCACACTCAATGTAATTTTATTATTCTTTTCCATGGACAATCTCTTCGGGGACCCAGTCAAAAGTGGGAAAGCACTTTTGGCCTGCTCTTTGTTTGCTTGATTTATTTTTAATTAAAGTTTTCTTGAATATTCAGCACAGCTTCTTTTGGGTAGAACAGAGTTTTAGCCCAGTCGTGTTTTTCTATTCATACTATTTAAATTGCTAGTCCCTCAGCAACGTGTAGCTTTTAGGTATCTTACTGCTAAGATTTGAAGGTTTCTTGTCTCAGTGCATGAAAGTTTTAACCAAACAAAGCCTTTTCTTCTTCCTTTCTAACAGGTCTTTCTTTGTAACCTGATTGGTTAGAGTTGCTTTTCTGCCTTTCTACCAGGGTTTGCCTACATGGTTTCTGCAGCCAAGTGAATGTCAATAAAATACCAGCCCAGATGCTTATGATGACTCTATAAATCTTCCTTTTGCACAATCAGTTTTAACAAGGATTCTTTTTAAAATAATTTTATTAAAATTACATCTTATAGCAATAGTACTTAGACTTATATGCTTTACAGCCCCTTTCTAAGCTGTTTTACTGAGTCAGCATATTGCCTCCAACAGTCAGTTCTGAGTCCTCATTTTATCCACCTCGGAAAGATGGAAGGCTGAGTCAACCTTGAGCTTGGTGGGATTTGAACTGCCAAATTGCAGGCAGCTAATAGTCAGCAGAAGTGGTCTCCAGTACAGCACTCTAACCACTGCACCACAGAAGGCTATAGATAAAACTACAGTAATACAAATGACAAAAAAAATAAAGAAAAGAAAAAATAGAAAATGCACAAAAAACAATATAAAGAGAATGTAGAAAGGATTCTGTTGATTAGTTTCAAATTTTTATTTCAATCCATAAGGATTCTTAGTCCACTTATACGTTTCCAGAATCAGTTTTCCATTCATTATTTTGCTGGTTATTACAAAGCAGTAATCATATTCTAAGTACTGCAGCCTCATTAAATTTAGTGGGATTTCTAGTTGAACAAATAGATGTAGAGCTTTAACTAAGCAACCAAATAAAACAAGTGTGTTATAATGCAGGAAAACACAAGAACTTATGAATTGTGGACTATGTTTGATACAAGTCTAAATCCCGGATGATGCTGGAACAAAAACATTTATTTTAATTTAATGAGTTTGTATCATACAACTAAATGCATTTTATAATTTATTTTCTCTCACAATAGAAATAACAATTGAATACTGTAGTCCAGGAGTATCAGATTTTGGGTGAAAAAATCTAGATGACTACTAGATGGCAGCAAATCTACCAGTATTCTTTTTTTTTGGTGATATTGAAAAGGGGGAAAAGTGAGGTGATAAAGAGAAGGAATACAAGGGACACCTTTGAAAAAAAAATGGTGAGTTTCTGGTATATTTGACTACCACCCAATCATCCCCATAGTTCATTCTAGAAAGATCTAGAACAGATAGACAACCTCTTCCTTCTCATAAGGTAGAAACCAGTTTTATAACATTGACTTACATTGGCTGAATTGTCAAGAAATTAAAGTCTTTCAGGAATTCTGATACTTACAGAGTAAGAATTGCTTTATTCAGATTAATCTTGATGAGTTTTTGTTCTACAGATGTTGTCCTTTCCTTGTGATATGCAAGGACCTGAAGACAGAGGAAGCTAGCTAAAATAGCAATAAACTTTATACCTTATTATTGACTGCTCTTCCAAATAACTCCCAAGTGCACTATAGCATTATTGATTGAGCAATGGGCTGAATAGCAAGGAGCAAAATCCATTTGTTGTCTGCTTACATATGTCTTGCTGTTAAGCATATTGCTGACTAAAGAAATAATAATTACAATTAGTATTAAGTTAACAAATCAATTAATAAAAGTCAGGAATCTGATGCAAACAACAATTACATTGCAGACCTTTATATGTTTACTATTTTTATAGCAAGTCTAGACACTTTTTACTTTCTAATATTTACAAAGCTTTTTAAACAACTACTCATAGAACATGATCTTCCTTATAACTTTTCTCACTGTGTTCAGCTGATCATGACTTCCCACCCCACACTTTTCCAAAATAAAAAAAAATTGTCTGGCATAACTTTGTAGCACAGCTTAAAAATATTTGGGTTATTATGTACTCATCTTTTATACACTCTAAGTCCTAAGGCACTTTTTGCATCACTTCTAGGCTAGTCCATTGTTCTGAATTTATGAAAAAAAAATATAGGAACTACGAATAGAAAACCCCTAAAAAGAAAACATTTATTTCTTCATCTATAAAAATCAAACCAATAAATCTTTTAGCTCCTAACTTGACTTTTAGCACTTTAATCAATCCTTTATCTTAATAAAGTTGGTATTCTTAGACATTTCAAGTTATTAAGCAATAATTGTAACTATTTAAATAGATAAACACTGGGCAATTTTCAGGGGGCTGAGTTGATGAACAATTTCATTGATTAACAATTTCATTGTAATTAGTGATAGGTAGGAGAGAATTGCATTAGCTATCTTGTAGATTCTTTGTAGAAAGCATCTTGCTGTATATTGAAAAATGAAGTCATGTACAGACAGTTTTGGAGAAACTAGCTGCAAGAAGAAAATAATCAAGAAGAGGTATTTGGAAGGAGGAAGTAGTCAACATTGTTTTTACAAATGATTATCCTGAATGCAAAAGAAAAAAGAATATGCTTCCCCACCCACCCCCCAAACATTAAAAATGAATAGATGTATTATTAAATATTCTAAGCTTAAAAATATATGGCACTAAAAGAGGAGGAAGCAAGAAGGAATTGGAAGATTCTGAAAAAGGTCTTGCCAGAAAAATCATGAACCATATGATTCAATTACTGTCTCAAGAATCTCATTCAAGTCAATAAATAAAGCAGGTTTGGAATGGCAACTGAAGACAGAAAGAAAAGTAAGTCATTGGCTTCAAAAATAAATTTCCTCCTCCTATAATCAATGCTGTACAATTAAAATGAGTAATATGGATGCAAAACAAAGCTAACTCCAATAAAAAATGTATTATCTTTTTAAAAAGGAAGGACTATTATACATTAAAAAATACTATTAAAAATTGTTACTAGGAAATAAATACCCAAGGATTTATCAGCTACTTGTTAATAAAGAAACAGTGGCTTTAATTCAGGACAAAAAGGAAATGTACTTTGTGCCACACCTGGCCTCTTTTCTGAACAGGCTGCCAAAATAGCATGATTTTCCTTCATGGCCAGTGACCAGACACAGGTAACGCTTTGCAAATTATCTAAACCAGCTCAGATGTTTGCAAGATAAAGGTCTGGGATCTCTTTGAGGGATACTGAAAAGACATTTCTAGCAGGCTGTAAAGAGATCTTTTGAGAATGCCTTTTAATAATATAAGGATGAGAGATAGGGTTGTCCCTGAATGACAGATGGGATGAATAGAAGCTAGGAACAATGGAGCCATTGATACACTATTGTTACTCAATAACCTATTGAGCCTCTTCTGAGATTTCTCTTGACCTGCCACTGGGATATGCCCCAGATGGGGATGCTGTTCCTCTTGGAGAGAAGCTTGGAAAGGGGGAATTTGAAGAGTGATTTATTAACCAACTTTCTCCAAGCTCATGCCCTCCAGATGTGTTGGACTTAAACTTTCCAAATAACAATTGAGGGCCACGGTAATTGCTGCCCATCAAGCTGGGGAGGCTATCTTTGTGAATGGTTAAAAGTTTCCCATAATTCACCATATAAGGGGGTTTACCATATTTTTTTGGAAGAAATAGGTTATCGTTGTGTTTATCAAGTTGAAGTGCTTATCATGGTACAAGGTAGTGCAAACCAGTCCTTATTCAAGAATGTTGGAGAAGACTTCTTCAGAAATACATTTGTTATTTGGCTCACAAGGCGAGGAAGAAACTAGAAAGGGTTTCATTAACCATTCAGGAGGATCAGTTTTTAGCATTAGATATAAATTAGGATAATGGGTAACAAATGGTATCCATAGGGACAGTCAAGAGTACTGTATAGCATTACATTTATTTAAATGTAGCCTTTTGTTTGATTGAACAATTTAGAGGAATAATGGTTACATCATTTAGCCTCCTGTAGTTTGTGTTTTTGTAGGGGAAAGCAAGAAACTGACTAGAATGGTGGAAACTGTACTTCATCTGATATGGAAAGCATCAAATTGAGAGGAGTACTGCAGATCCCGACATTTTTATGTATATTTTTCCGCTCCTTTACTTGTTTTCTTAATTCCCCAGAAATCAAAGTAAATACAGTAATTCTGAGATAATACTCACCTAGAACATATAAACATACCTCCATTATATTTCCACTTATCTTCAGATTTCATAAATCTTTTACCTTAAATGCATACTATTGTACTTATCTCACATTTGAAATGGAATGTAAATAAATAAATCTTGAATGTTAGATGTTAGGCAGCTGCAAAGATCTTCATAGACCTCCTAAGCCTAACCTTTTCTTTCTCTAAAATGCTATCATTATCCTAACATAGCTCTTAAAAACAGCTCCCTGCTGCTGACATGCACTGTCCATTTTTAACAGAATGAAATGTGTTGAGCTATCTTTGACTGAGCACTTACAGAGAAATTATGCACTCTTATGGCTTATTCTACACAGCTTTTATATTCTTCAGAAACCATTCTTGCCCTGTGAAACATCTTTCCAAATCATAATCACCTTGGATGAGTATCTAGCTACATTAACTCTTAAAAGAGTAATGCTGCTGTAAAATTGTTCTGGCTTTTAGCTAGAACATTCATAGTGAGGCTGCTGTTTTGTCTCTCAGAATACATAGTGCAGAGAAATGGTTTGAATATTTTGATTTTTTTCAGAAAAGTGCTTAATAGATTTGACTTACCTGGGAACTTCTGAGAAGATATTGTGGCATTTCCTATTCTGCTTTTCCCCTATTCCACTCTAGCCCTTTTGTGTGGGATTTTAATACCAATATTCCTTACATCAGTGTGATATTTAATGTTAAGGCAAAATCAACTAATTAATGATAGCTATTAGCAAAATTTTGCAGTTTCAAGAGCCCAACACATTCAATTTGCCTCCAGCTTCAAATCTTCATTACAGAAGATTTGAATCTGCAAACAAGCAGATCTGAAATCTTGTGTATTATCTTCCAGAGGCATTTTGGAAAGCCACACCTCAATTCCAGTTGGGTTGCCAAAACTATTAGAAGATTTCTGAGTTTTGCACAAGAGAAGGAAATTGAGATATATGTGCATAATACATCCAGCAAAATCTGGAACTAATCATGGGTAAGGATTACTTTGGATTTTCTATAAAATATCACAACTAAATGTAGTCTCTTGATTAGCAGACTTTTTGTCTGCTTTTCTAAAGTCTTCCTTTTTGATGGGTCCTTGGTGTTCTCTGAGCTTGACGAGACAGTCAAGTTGTTTGATCATGAACAACTGAATCATGATGATCTTTATTGGAGTCTAGTCTTGCATTTATACACATTTTTAGTTATCCTCCATCACTGGTTAACTTTGGTTACAGCTTAACTTTCGTTACTGCTTAGCACAGTAATCCATACAATTAATTATCTCTAGTTAAAGTCTAACATATGTTTACTTCCTCTCTCTAATCCTCCTTTAGATTAGTGACTTTGTTTACCTGAGTTGTATTTGCTTGGAAACATTCTTTATCTGAGGTTTGCCATCCGAGATTGGAACATTCCTGCAATTACAACTCTACCTATCCGCGTTTTTTATTTTAAATGGAGGATTCAAAATTTATGAATGTATCACAATTGTAGAGGATTAAGAGAGGGGGAAGCAGGACGAAATAATGCGAATAAATTTGGAATGAAACAACAGGTTGCAGTTAGTACAATAATAATAATTATAGCATAAAAGAAAAACTGTCTGAGCCAAGACCAATCAGGGAGCCAATTGGTTAGCCACTCAAAAGGTGAGTAATGAGCATGGATATTATTTTGAATGTATGATTGTAAATTGGCAAGCTCATCCTCAATAGTTTTATTCAAAGAATGAAAATGTACAGCACATCCACAGCGTCCAACTAATGTACAGAACCCTCCCTGATGGGCTAAAAGATAGTCTATGGCAAAATGCTGCTGTAAGACATCTTGATTTAAGTCTTCTATTTCATGCTGCAAATCACGAATAATAGCAGTGGTAGCATTGATGGATTTTTCAAGTCTGCAGGTGAGACCAAGAATAGATCGTCTGTTTTCTTGAGCAATTATGCCAGGATAAGAGCCTAAAGTAAGGACTCCTGTAACAGCCCCTGCCAATGCACGGCCAAATGTAGAACCAGAAGACAATTGTGTGTCAATAATGACTTCATCATTACATATAGGCCCAGAGAGGAACGCTGCTGTCAAGTTGATGGGAGCATACCTATTTGAACAGGTAGAGTAAAATAACCTATAGTTGCACATTGATAATTCTGAGGATGAACATTAGTAGCATATTTATCAATAAAGAACCACATATTAGGATCCTTAAGCTGCCAACCAGCGCATATCGATCCTATATTAGATTGATCAGAGACATTAAAAATAGGAAAATTGTCAGGATACATATCAGGAGCTATATTAATTCCATGCAAAGAAGAATTAAAGGTACCTGACAACCAATAGTAGTCAGAACAATAACTATAATTCCCTAGCTTTTTAAATATGTGCTGAGCAGCATCATAATCAGACCAACTATGAAACCAAGTGTGTTTAGAGTGACAACAGAAACACAGACCCCTTGTAAATTGACTAACTTTCAAGTAATGCCAACGGACAGAATTCAATTGCATAGGGGGTGTAGAAAATAGCTAGGAGTGTGAAATAAATTGTAGTTGTGAGACAATAAATGTAGAAGACATGATCAAGTTAGGGGTAAAAATTTTTTGACCAAATGCCATTGGGGGCTCATGGTATAAAATAATATTTGTGCCATGGGTCATAAACATGTATTGGGCATGACAAACCCACAAATTAGGGTTAAGACGAACCACAGAAGTGTCATTTTGAGCAGAAACACCATTAACCATAAACAAGAAAATACAAAGTAAAATGGTAACAGAGTTAGCAGTAATAATAGCAAAAACAGCAGCAAAAAGATTTTCAGGAGTCTGAGGTAATGAGGCCTGTTGCAGTTGTTGTTGAGCTTGATATGTAGTAGATTTAACCTGGCCCCAAGTGATGGGTTGGGGGCGCGTTGACCTTGGAAGATGGACTTCTGTGTTCAGATGAAGACTGAAATCCGGAATCAGGTTGTGAAGGCCCTGATGCCATGCCATGATACGGACGAACACAGCACGCTGGAACCCACACTGCTTGTTGAGTAGAAGGATCTTCCACGGCAGCGTAACCGCGACCCCCGGTGATCAGCGGTGTAGAGCCTGGATCTGGAGCTTGGCGATACTTTACCAAAGGCCTTGCTAAAGATTCAATAGTTTGAAAATGCAAATTAACATGTGAGTCTGTAAGAGAATCTAAAAAGGTTGAATAATTCCAAGTATATAATGCTACAGCAATGAGATTTTGAATCTTTCGCAGATGGTAAGGGCCAGACTCAGTTTGTAATTGTTTCTGAAGAAATGCCTTAAAAGTACGATGAGCTCACTCAACTATAGCTTGACCCTGAGAGTTGTAAGGAATTCCGTGCACTAAAGTAATATTCCATTTCTGACAAAAGGTTTGAAATTCCTTACTAATATAAGCGGGCAATTGTTAGTTTTAAACTGAGAAGGCCGACCCATTACAGCAAAAGAGGATAGGCAATGAGAAATAACATCTGAATTACATTCATGTTTTGAAGCAGTAACCCAAAGGAAGTGTGAATGAGTGTCAATAGACATATGAAGATAACAGTATGGCTTAAAGGTTGAAAACTGAGTTACATCCATTTGCCAAATTTGATTAGCTTGGGTTCCTCATGGGTTGACACCTACTGGAAAGGGAACTGCCAGTTGCTGACAAGCTGGGCAAGCACGGACAATATCCCGGGCTTGAGATAATGAAATTTTAAATTGCTTTGCAAGCGATTTGGCATTTTGATGAAAATAAGAATGACTAGCAACAGGATCAGCAAACAAAGATGCAACATCCTTTAAGGATTCATCTATCTGCCTTCCGATTTCCTTCAGTCAAGGCATTAGTAAAGTAGTATGACTTTGAATGTGTTCTACATACAAAGAATACAAGCGAGTTTCCAAACAGTTCTTTAAAGATAAAAATAAGGATAACAAATTCTTATCCAAAGAGAGAGCACAATAAGAAAAGGGAAGAGATTGCATAGCTAAATACAGATATTGAGTATCAACGATCAAGTTAATAGGTTGGTCATTGAACAATCATAAAGCCAAAATCACAGCAGCCAGTTCAGCACGTTGAGCTGAAGTCTGCGTGGCAGTAAATTTAGAATACCATTGTTGTTGAATCTGCCAGACAACCACACCCGTTGTAGGTGATCCATCAGTAAAGACTGTAAGAGCTTTAGAAATAGGATTTTGCACAAAAATGGAAGAAAAGGCCGGATTTAAAGTAGTAGTAATCACTATTCTAGGATCCTTGGGTAAAGAATACAACAAGTTTCCCACATATTGAGAAAAGGCTATCTGATATGATTCTGAAATCATCATCAAATGCTCGTGTTCAACTTTTGTACGAGTGAAAGCTATGCTGATGAGAACCTGTCCTGTAAGATGTAAGGCTCGTTTACGACCTTTAATAATCAACTCCTTTAATGCTGATTGATAATGATAAATGTTTCTAGGTGGAGTAGCTGACAAATTAATCCATTCATGAATGTTGACCGCTTGCGGGGACGCATTAGAATAAAGACATCCCATGGGTAAGGGTGTAGTGGGAAGAATAGCTAAGCAAAGTCCTATTGTTAAGGATGTTATCCTGTCCACATATCAATGCTTAAACTTATTCAATATTTCTTGAAGGCACGTTCTTTGAGGACCAGTTAATACAACTAGATCTCCTGGTGATTGTGCTCCCTCCAAAGACTGAAATAAGGGCAACATGTCACCAGTTGCAATGTAGAAGAATGGGCGTGCCCAATTAATAATGCCAAGTAATTTTTGTCATTGTACTAATGTATATGATTTCTGTACTTGTAATTCAGGAAGAATTGGAATGGAGGAATTGTGCAACATTCTATGTCCTAAGTAGGTATAAGGTTCTACCTTTTGAATTTTGTCTGAGGCTATATACAATCCCTGTTGTGCCACAATATCCATTAACTCTTTTAACAACTTAGATTCATCAAAATCCGGGGCTGCTATCAATATATCATCCATATAATGATAGACTAAATAAGAAGAAAATTTATTCCAAAAGGGTTGAAGGGCATTATCCATGAAATATTGACAAAGTGTAGGGGAATTAAGCATTCCCTGAGGCAACACTCGCCAATGATATCATTTTGTGGGCATGCTATTATTAAAAAATGGGACAGTAACATCGGCTCCAGTATCCAATAACCCTTGAAATGGTTGTTTATTAAGGAAGAGTGTTAACAAAGGACAAGAGGAGTTCAGCTGATGAAATAAGCCTACAGATAAAGAAGTTGATCCAAATCCTGCCTCCCCATGATTACCTATACCAGGAGATGGATTTTCATATGGAAGAAGAAGCAATTGAGCAGCAGAAGAATTACAAGGAAGAACTTGAGGAAGATTCACCCAAATCTGAATCATGAGGATACCAGTGTAATCTGAATCTATTACCCCAGGCACAACAAAACAGCCCTTTTTGTGTGCAGAAGAACGAGGCAAAATTAAGCCAACTATTCCCCAAAGAAGAGGACCTTTAAATTGAGATGGAACTATTTTAACTTCCATGGGAAATTTAAATTCAATTTCCTCTTGAGTGATTAAATCCATCCCAGCGCTACTGGCGGTGGCTGGGGAGGAGTGAGAGAGACTGCTGGAGGAGTCAGAGTGATGGGAAAGGCACGCTTTGGATTCTGGGTGGGTGCCACACCCATTGGCAAGTTTTCTGATCAAAACCGACATTGATTGGCCCAATGAAATATCTTTTTACAAATAGGGCACTTCTTAGAAGGATGATTCTGAGGCATAGAAGGTGTAGAACGACAGTCCTTCTGAAAGTGTCCAGGCTTCTTATACTTAAAACAGTTACCAATTGGTCATTGTCCTTTCTGAATAGCAGCTGCTAACATATGCATTTTATAAGTTTGTGATCTGATATCCTGGCAGACTCACAGCATATCTGCCAGAGTGTAATGAGCAGTAGCCTTTAACGGCTGTAAAGCTCTTTTACAATCTGCAATAGCTAACTGGCGAAGAAGTTCACCAACAGCTTCCTGATGATCAAACTGCTGTCTAATTGCTTTGGACGGATGCTCAACAAAGTCAGCATAAGGCTCATTGGCATTCTGTCGAATGTTTGAAAAATTTGCTCTAGGTTCTCCAGCTTGGGGTACCTTAAGAAAAGCACGAAAGGCACATTCAGAAACAATAGTTAACGTAGCTGGAGGAAGAACAACTTGAGTAGGAATTCTACCAAATGATCCAGAACCAAATAGTTGCTCAATTGTATATGCTCCTCCCCCTCCTAAAGCAGCAGCTTGAGCGTGTCTCATATATTCACTCTCCCAAACCACATATTGCATGGATGTTAAAATCATGCGAAATATTTGCTTCCAATCTTCAGGGATCATTGTATAACCATTTTTTATTCCTTCTACAAGTCCTCTTGTAAAATTACCGCTAACCCCATAGTCTGTAACTGCTTTTTTAAACTCTCTTAAGATTTGATAAGGCAGACACTCCCATTCTGCTACTTGCAGTCCAAGCTGTGGCCCCTGACCAGGACGATATTGTACTGGACAAACAGATAGTAATTTTGCAAGTTCTGTTCCTGAGACAGAGGCATCCCTTTTACAAGTCTCTACCATTTTCTGAAAAGAAGACTGAACAATAGAGTCAGGAGGCTTTTGCCCTGTATCTGCAGGAGCTGAGGGAATTGAAGACATATATTCAGGTGAAGAAAAGGGACAAATGACAGCATTAGTATAACGTGAAGGTGGAGGTGTTAAAAGAGAAAGTTCATTGTGACCAAATTTTTCAATTGCATGCCTACATAAATGCCACACATGCAAAACTTCTATTTTTGCTTGAGGTTCAGTATGCAATGTTTTCCCAATACGTTCCCAATCAGTTAATTTTAAAGACCCCTTTTCTGGGTACCATAGGCACTGAGCTGCAATCTCCTAGACCAGCCTTAAGAGATTTCTCTGTGGTACCTCGTATTATTTTTCTTCAACAAATAGCCTAATTCATCTACATGCTTCCTTTGTTCCTCAGAAAGCGAAGACCCCATACTTACAGAAACCAAAAGGTTGAAGAAACCACAAAGGGTTGAAGGTGCACCAAATCCTTGCTGGACGAAGTAAGAGGGTCCCTGTTCATGTGCCATTTGTTGTAATGACGAGGCAGTTGAGTTTTTTGATCATGAACAACTGAATCATGATGATCTTTACTGGAGTCTAGTCTTGCATTTATACACATTTTTAGTTATCCTCCATCACTGATTAACTTTGGTTACTGCTTAACTTTCGTTACTGTTTAGAACAGTAATCCATACAATTAATTATCTCTAGTTAAAGTCTAACATATGTTTACTTCCTCTCTCTAATCCTCCTTTAGATTAGTGACTTTGTTTACCTGAGTTGTATTTGCTTGGAAACATTCTTTATCTGAGGTTTGCCATCCGAGATTGGAACATTCCTGCAATTACTACTCTACAGAGCTTGCTTCGGGTTTTTTTTTTCCCAGAGGTTTCATTATCCAGAATAGGTAAAATCAGAGAGTGGGGCTGCCTCACTCAAATAAATGATAGCTTGTTTGGTTATTGCTTGATTTGGGTATTGTTTACTTCTTGATTGTTGTTCTGATGTTAATCTTAGTATTAATTTATGCTCATCTAGGTGCTGCTTGCTGATGAGGAATTTTTTCAGTCCTTTTGTTTCCTTTTTGGCTTATTGATTGCCTCTTTTGTGTAGTACATAGATGTTGTTTATGTCTATGTACCATTGATGGCCGATTTGTCAGAGTGCCAATCTTCCAAGAATTCTTTAGTGTGGATTTTTGGGACCTGGCTTGATCAAGGATTATTATAATTTCCCAGCTGAAACTATGGTTAAGTCTGTCCATGTATTGTGAAATTAGAGTTGTCATCATGTCTTCTGAGTGCTTCTGAGTGTTCATAATGTATTCTGTTAGTCTTCTGCCTGTTTCTCCTATGTAGTAGCATTTTTATACTATATGTTGTAGGTTATTCCTGCTTGTCAGCAAGAACATGGATGAACAATATCTCTTTTAATTGATTATATATTATCTTGAATTATTCCATCTTTATTATTTGTATGAATAACTCAAGGCAGTGAACAAACCTAATATTCCTTCCTCCTCCTATTTCCCCCACAACAACCACCCTGTGAAGTGGGTTGGGGTGGGACCAATGTCACCCAGCAAGCTTAAGGCAGGACTAGAACTCACTACTCCTTGACTTCTAGCCTGCTGCCTTAACCACTAGACTAAACTGGCTCTCTTAATGGTGCCCCAAGTTATTAAAATGTCATTAGCTTCCAAGGCAAAGACCATAACTAATTGTACCCTAAACTCAGAACTGCTAAAGGGGAATATAACCCTACCCACAACCCATATCTGATAAACATATATTACTGTTGGTGATGGTGTACAAGCAAGTTTCTTTCTATGAAGCATTGTGCACATCCTTTTTGATGTAGTGGTTAGAAAGGCAGGCTAGAAAAGGATAGATTGATGAATTCTAGCTGTACCTTAGATGCAAAACCAGCTGTGTGACTTTGGGCCAGCCAGTCACTCTATCTCATCTCATCTTATCTCACAGAGTTATTATTGTGGGTAAAATAGGAGGAAAGAGTTTTAAGTATTAAGTAATCATATTTGCATGAAAGTTATTTATAAATACAATAAAAGTGGAATTTAAAAAAATCTAAAAATTACAACAATTTTGGATACATTTTTCCTAATGTTTTTGTGTAAACAGAGTAGATGTGTGTGTGTTCCACTCTCAGTAACATCATCCCTCCTGAGATGAGGTTAAGCCCAACTCTTATGGCCTCCCATAAAGCTCTCAAGCTGTGTTTTTTTTTCTTAGCATGCCTGGGAATCCCATGTGTATGTGTGTTTGTGTGTGTGAATATACACCCCTTCCCACTTGTGGTTTTGTTTGTATTTGTTGTTTTAAGGATTTACAAAATGTTTTAATAAATCATTTAATTATACGCTTTCCAGAGTCACTTTAACTGGGATGGGTAGTAATACAAATATGGGTAGCAATACAAATATGATAAATAATAAATAGGAAATGACCCTAGCTATTCCAGTTCCATCTGTTGCCCAAGATACCAAACTCTTGTATTTGATATTTTATCTTTTTTTAAAATAGCAAGTTCATTCAGCACAGTAGCTTGACATGTCTATTTGGTGAAAAAAAATTGAGGAGGCTACTGCACAAATTATATTTGCTGATTGTTGTGTAAAGGAAAAAATCATTTCATATAAATCTGTTCAAATAGGCAATAAAATAAGTAGTATATTTATCATGGTTGTATTTATCAAACCTCTCAGTTGCCAATTATATAAAGCCCCCTTTTTTGGTAGTCAGTTTGTGGGATAGGATGGAAGACAACTATAGCAGAGTGATAATGTTGGCAATTTACTGTAGTTTGATAATGGCTAGTATGGGTGACTACAGATAGTTTGCTTTAAGGCATTCTTTGTGATGTTTTCTATGCTCAGCCTTGCAAAGAGTTCAGGTGTTTCATTGCAGCTGCCTTCTGAAACAGATTCGATTAATGCAAACTTCAAAACTAGTCCTGTCCTCCTTCACAAAACACTTCAAACATAGCAAATTGTGTCCTCTCTCAGATGATGGAGACTAATCCAGTTAATCCACTCCCTCCCCCTTGCATCTGAATGCAAGCCACTGGGACATGCCCAATTACACAGCCATAGTCAAAATAAATGGCTTATTCCAAGTACTCCACTCAGGCAACTAAGCTTCATTATTTCCTCCCTTCAAAATTCTCAAAATTACAGAGAAGAGGAATGGCACATCTATTGATTACTGTCAGGATACTATCAACAGCCACCCATTAAAAGATTTTTAGACAAATCCTGTTTAGATTTCTGCTTGTTTTTAACAGCAGTACTGAAATTTGGATGTTAGTTGGTCAGATGATCACTTGGACTTCTGTGTTTTTTCCTGAAATGTTCTAGCTATAATGTTGACTGAAGTAATTTAATTCCTCAGTTATTTCTCAACCTTAAATAGACTAGCACAGAAATACTGTTAAGGAAGAAATCCACCCAAAACATTACCCACAAAGTGAAGTTAGACATTACAAATGTTTATTGTTATTATTTATCTAATATTGTCTGGACTTATTTTAATGAGGAATATATTGATTTGTATTGCTCTAAAGAAGAGCATATAATTCTTAACATTGAGATTTCAGTTTTTCTTTCTTAAAAATAGATGTGTGTGTGTGCGTGTGTGTGTGTTTCAGCATAACTCTGGAACACCTCAAGCAATTTCAACCAAACGACTTACCCTCTGGAAACAAATACTGTGGAGGTAAGACCCCCCCGACACTCCTCGATATGTGTGTGTGTGCCTCAAAATGGCTTCTACTGTACAGCACAGTGGACTTGCATGGTAATGGCTTCATAGTACTCTACAAGGGGGCTCCCTCTTGTGGAGGAATAGAAGAATTGCTATGCTGCGTGAGAGACAGTACAATCGTGTGAGTCCTGACTGCAGGATTTTCTTGTCAAATACAGGATTGGGATAAATAAATATCCAGGCAATGTCGGGTTATCAGCTAGTATAAAATATAAATATATAATTTTCCACTTCTTATTCTCTTAAAGCAATTTTGCTGTTGATTTATGACCTTAGTAAGACCTAATTATGAAATCATGGATGTATTTATAATATATATAACCATATAGTTTTCCTAGTTAAATAGGCCATCAGGGATTGTTATGTACAGTTTAGTGGCTCCTAACTAAAATTCTATTGGAGTTTGACACCACAGTTCTACAGTGATGAAAGAGGAAATTATTAAAGAAGTGGGAGTCATTCTATTAATTCTATTTCATTAAATATAAATAAATATTAAATAAATCCAATCTAGTTTTAGGGCTTGGCTCCACCCACTTCTTCATCTAGATCCCAACTCTTTGGAAGTGTGGTCATTGATGTGTCACTTAAAAGATAAATGCAGCTTTGGGTCCTCCCAAAGTTTCACAGCTGTGCCTTAAAGGTTTTTGAAGGCTTCTTTAAAACTGTCTTCAATAACTATAACTAATAAAAGTTTCATTTCACTAAAATAAATAAATGAAAACACCATTTTCAGTCTCAAAGGTTGTTCTTGCAGTAGCTAAAGTTCACGGCTTCCTTTGAAATGAAAGTGAGATTTGCTCCATCAGACATCTGGGAGATCAGGAAAGTATATCATGAAAAGGTTTCCTTATTATTGCCTTTGATGTGATCATTAAAGGATAAATTAGGATTATTATTTTTTTAAAAAACTCTTTGGATTCTGAATAGACATGGAAGAAAGAGGTATCTCATCATTAACTCAAAGAAAAAGCCAGGTGTCAGAATTGGATAAATAAGAAAGAAGGAAATGCAAAACACTTATCAAATAATGAATTTGTGATGATATGTTTTCTTGTAACCCCATCTCCCCACCTAGTAGTAGAAACAGTTTAAACAAATCACAGCATTAAAATTTGCATTATAGAATATTGTATTCTAGTTTCTCCAATCTTGTGTCCTCTGGGTTAAGGGTTGCCAACCTTTTGGACCTCAAGAATCACCAAACTCATAATTTTAAATCCTGCAGACCAGTAATATGAATTTTGACTGAGGGTGGCTTGCTGACGTTGGTGGGAAAGTCAGTCCCATATTCCAGAGCTGCAGTAGTCACAGGACTGGCCCTTTGGTCATCCTGGAGCAACTGCTCCTCCATCTGGGTGCACCGGCCTGCCATGGATTGGAGCAGTTGCTCCAGGATGATCAAAGGGCCAGTCCTGTGACTACTGCAGCTCTGGAATATGGGACTGACTTTCCCACCAACATCAGCAAGCTAACCCGGGGCAGATTTCCCTCCCCCGCCATTGGACTTACCTTCCAGTTCCGGATTGTGTAGCTCTACTTAAGGGAAGGTTTGCACTCTGCTGAAGGGTGGGGGCCAGCAGGTGGGTGGGCCATGTGGGCGGCACAGCCTTGTATTCCCACACAGCCTGGATTAATTGCTTTGGAAGGAACATTTCTCTCTGGACCACCAAAATTTTCTCTCAGACCACCAGTGGTCCCCGGCCCACCGGTTGGTGACCAGTGCTCTAGGTCAGGCGTCTCCACCTTGTCGACTTTAGGCCTGATGGACTCCAACTCTCAGACTTCCCCCAGCCAGCTTTGCTTTGCTGGCTGGGAAATTCTGGGAGTTGAAGTCGCCAAGCTTAAAGTTGCCAAGGTTGGAGATCCTTGCTCTAGATTTCTTGGACTTCAACACCAGAACTCTCAATCAATTTAGACCACAGGACTTCCAAAACATTTGAAAAGCATTGTTTGGAGAAATGGGCTATAAATATTTTGAGAGGTAATGAATATGAGTTACAAACTATGCACACAATTATTTTACCTCTGTAACAGAGAATCACATTGAACTTGTTCTGTTAAATTAATTCAATACTGTATAAACTCCTTCAAAAAGTGACTGGCAATCATAATTTTTAGTTTTCAATTAATTTCAAAAAAAGATAGATTTCCACATTTCTCAGACTCACAAGCTATTACCATGAAAAACTACATGTTATACAATAGGAAGGGTTCATATTTTGCATTCCATCTTCTTCCCTATGACTGGACAACCTTGTTTAAGTATTCTGCCTGAGCAAATATGCAAGAGGGACAACTGGGGATACACAATGGCTCAGTAGGAATAGCAATAACACTTAGTCTTATATACTACTTTACAGTGCTTTATAGCCCTCTTTAAGTGGTTTACCGAGTCATCATGTTGCCCTCAACAATTTTGGGTCCTCATTTTACCTACCTCGGAAGGATGGAAGACTGAGTCAACCTTGAGCTTGTTGAGATTTGAACTGACAAATTGCAGGTAGCTGACAGTCAGAAGAAATAGCCTGCAATACTCCACTCTAACCACTGTGCCACTGTGGCTCATGTACGTAGTTGCCACCCATATTTAAGGGGGGATTTTCTGCAACAGTGGACATTAATTTTCTAAGATTTTAATTTTTGTCAGCAACCAACATGAATATAAGCCTACTGCTATATATGAAGAGGTTTGAACACGAAGACTGGAGCTGGTGGCATTTTTATCATGTCTTTCTTCAAGGATATAGTAATATAATACAAGTTTACAAAGCCTCTTAACACCCTTGTAAAATATGTTGACATTCTGAATTGGATTTCTGTAAAATGATTTTTAAAGCAAGACACAACAGATCTATGGTGTCAGTCTGTCCCACTTTATCTTTCCTTTGATCCAGCCATTAATGTGGGTTCACATCATTTTTCAGAATGGAGAAAGAGACTTTAGTATTTGCTTTTAAGCCAGCCTTGTTTACCTAAAGTAAAATGTCTCAAAGAGGGTAAGTTGCTGCTAGATGAGTTGAGGAACTAAGGAAAGTAGTCAGAATGACTTAAGGTGAGGTTAGCAAAAGAAAACTGGTGAACATCAATACAAGGAAAGGAAAAAATACCAAAACCAGCAGCTGGAAAGAAAGTCTGGTACAACCTTGGAGAAGGGGAGGGAGGATGTATGAATGAGATGGATAAATTCAGGAAGAGATCCATTTACTTACAGTATGTAGAACACATTGCAATAGTACACATGCGAGAGGGGCAAAATAAACTATTAATAGCAAAAGCAATAGCACTTAGACTTACATACTGTTTCACAGTGCTTTATAGCCTTCTCTATGTGGTTTATAGAGTCAACCTATTGTCCCCAACAATCTGGGTCCTCATTTTACCCCCTTGGAAGGATCAAAGGCTGAGTCAACCTTGAGCCTGGTGAGATTTGATTTGCCATATTGCAGTCAGTCAGTAGAAGTAGCCTGCAAACCTGCACTCTACCCACTGTGCCACTGTGACTCATTAAGAGGGCCAGAAAAAGTTAAAGTGGGATAATGTTACCCAAGTAGGGATTAATGAATTCTAGATCCAGGGGAACAAAATAACAACACCTACTTGATTTTATCAGGATTGAGCTTCAGTTTGTTTCTCTTCACCAGGCCCTCATGGCTTCCAGACACTGGAATAGGCAGTATTGGTTAATTTGAGATAGAGATGTACATACAGTGGATATTATTAGTAGTCTGGTGGTGCCTAACTAATGACACTCAGTGCTAAGTCCTGGTCTGAAACTTGATGAAATGGATCTAAATAATCTGTTTTTTCCAAAGTCCGTGGAAGTTGCAACCTTCTCAAAAATATTTTTTAAGAATAGAAGATTGAGGACTGGATGAAAGTTGCCTAGATCTGTAGAATCCAGCAATGGCTTCTTGAGAAAAGGTTGTATCATTGCCTCCTTCAAGCTGACAGGACTACCCTTTCCTTCCAAAACAACTGACACTGCAGCATGGATTTGGTTAATGGATTAGCAAGCAAGGATAGGGATGGGATCTAATAAAAACAAAATCAGATTAACAGTTTTCAGGATTTTCTCCATTTTGTTTGCCAAGCCAGAGTCCAACTTTCAGTAAGTCCAAGTGACTTCATCTGGTCAATGCCCAGAATATTTTTCATGGTAGACCCATAGATGTCTCTCAGAGAAAACATGAGGTTAAAAATGTACCTAGGTAGATACTGAGAGATTCAATAAAAGCAGAAAAAAATAGGCTTATGCTGTTACAGTATTGTTATGATATAATTCCTAAAGTGGTGTTTTACTTGTTCTTTCTTTAATGGTGTTAGATCACTTCACCTCTCAATAGTCCTAACTTTACCCTCCTCGAAGGATCACACAGGGATTGATTTATTGTAAGAGGCATATGAACAGGTCCAAGGTCTCTGTCACCTGTCTACTCTAAGCAGCTTCAGAGATTCACGTAAACTGCCAACAAGTTTCTGCAGAGGAAACCCTTGCTTTCCTTTGAGCTCTACCAGATTCATCAGTTGCCTGGCAGACCAATCTAATAGGACTCCCCTCTTTGCAAATGTGAGGGAGCACTGGTGAGCTCTCTGTAGCAAAGGACTGATAGGACATTCCTATATATCAGTTCACGTGACAACTACTCCAAGAGAGAGGGATCTTGGAGTCCTAGTGGACAATCACTTAAATAAGAGCCACCTATGTGCTGCAGCTGCCCCAAAAGCCAACACAGCCCTAGGTTGCATTAACAGAGGGATAGAATCAAGATCACATGAAATGTTTATACCATTTTATAATGCCTTGGTAAGACCACACTTGGAAAATTACATCCAGATTTGGTCTCTACAATATAAAAAAGATGTGGAGACTCTAGAAAGAGTGCAGAGAAGAGTAACAAAGATGCTTAGGGAACTGGAGGCTAAAACATATAAAAAACGATGGCAAGGAT